ATGGCTAAATTAAAACACTTGAGATATTTTCTTTTATTTATTGTATTTAAACATTGTGCATCTCTAATGACTATTACCAAAGATGTCAAGAACATCAGTGGGATGGATGGAGTTGCATACTTGAAGCTAGTTTAGGAATTTTTGGCTTCATACCAGCTTATGTCTACCTCGGCTGATGCTCACAGATAAACTGACAGTGTGAAATAGAGGCACCCTCAGGAAGTGAGTGACGCATACTGGACAGGTCGATCTGGGCTACTGAGTGACTTTTGTCCTGAAGCATACTTGTCAAAATACTTTTGGGTTTCCACACACTTAGCTATATATTTCTTCTTTTCTAATACTGTATATTAGTTTTTGATGTTTATTGTTATTTGGTTTAACTTTATTACTTACTTATAATAGGTTTACTTTACAACTTTATATACTAAGACAAAGTTAACAATAATCCTCATATCGGGTACCGCATTGTTTTCTTGATTTTCAGAATTCATAACTTTTTTTCTGTCACCCCTCCATTACCCCCCAAAAATGGTTAAATTACCCCCAGGGGGTAATTTACCCCCAGTTTGGGAACCACTGCCTTAAACAGTCCAAACGTATATATACGTTCACCTGCTCAGCACGCCGAATATTTTGAGGGAAAAAAACAATCGTTGAATAAATGACAAATGAAACGTATATATACGTTTGGGGCGCTACACGAGAGAACATATATATACGTTTGGATTGTTTAAGTGTTAAACCAATTCCAATGCTCAATTTGATCCAATTCCTCACTTTCTACACAGGCCCATTCTCTAATGTCTAGGACAAAATTTATTGCTTAAACCATAGATCTACATAAGCAACACTGGCATCAATGACATAGCTAATTTAATATCTTTATCATGCACCTCATACCCATGGTGTGGGTGGTAGTCAAAAGATTACAGAGGTACATAGTGGGTCCAGGGACTGTGGTACAAAGGTACATAGTGGGTCCAGGGACTGTGGTACAAAGGTACATAGTGGGTCCAGGGACTGTGGTACAAAGTTCTGATAGCTAAAAAAGTTAGTGATAATAAACTACTTACATGCTTATATCTGGTTACAATCATAATAAATTTATGCAGACATGAATTCAGTCACAAAAATATTATTGTAGCTTGTATGTGGTTTTTTAATAATTTATATTACCTTATATTTTAGCAATGTATACTTGAATTTAAATAAAATTTAAGTGGCAATGATTTATTTACAATAGGCAAGGTCAGGGTATTTTTCCAGAAAGTTTGGTAATATGCCACTGTGGCTCAAATACTTTGACATTTCTTGAACATTTGTGAGTGAATTGTCTCTGCATTTACTAATTTTCTTGCATTCCAGCAATGATGATGCCAGGTGTGACAATAGTCTATCTGGCAAAGTTTGCATTTAGTTGTGTACATCAGCTGGTGATACTGATGCAACCTCTAATGATACTTGTAGCCCAGACGGAGCCAAGCAATAGTGACAAAAAAGAGTTAGCTGATTTTGTTTGATGCACCTTAAGACATGTGGCTCCTCCTGCATGACAGATTCTTCAGAATGATGATAGATGGACTGACTAGTGTCAATCTCCTTCAGTCTCAAGCCAATGAAGTTCAACTGAAATTTTTTCCATTGTCCTTAAAACACTAGTTAACAACCCAAGATTGTAACCTATGAGAGATGGAATCCACAGGTGTACTCTGGTTCTGCTGTCAACAGGCCTGCTATATCTCTGACTGGCTTCAGACACTAGCATGCCACACTTGATGCTCATAGAGTTAAGAGCATTTATGATGAATCAGTTACACTTAAGGTGTCAATGACGTAGACCTACGTGGGAGACAGTGAAAGGGCTAATAGTTCTAAGCATCACTTATATCTGAAATGCTGTGTGTAAATATAACAACTTGATCTTTTCTAAATTTTCTTATGTTCATAATAATATTCTGATTTTGCACTTAATGGACAAGGACAGGCTAAGAGCTGTTATCCTACCTCAGCTCATTTTGAAGCCCCAACCCTATCTATGGTATACCAGGATGCGACCCACACCAGTTGGCTAACACCCAGGTACCTACTTGCTGCTAGGTGAACAGGGACAGCAGGTGTCTTAAAGAATCATGCCCAATGTTTCCACCCATACCAGGAATCGAACTACGGACACTCAGTGTGTGAAATGAGTGTGCTACCAACTGAGCTACTGGACACCTTTAAGGACTATAAAGAACTTTGGGAGCAGGACTTCTGTTTTTGCATAACGTTAGGTAGAGATTCAGTTGTTAGGTCTGTCATTTTTCCATTTCTTCGCATAAAGCGTAAATCCAAAAAACCATTGGTCTCAATCTATTCAATTATAATGGGAGTTTACTGTCAGAAAAATATCAAAATTTGCTGAAGTTGCAGAAAGAAAAGTGATCACATAATATAATTTATAATATTGAAGAACAATTGTAAGGGGTTTAGATAATATAAACTGCTGAAAACAATTATTAATACAGTACAGTAGGGCCCCAACTTACAATGTTAATGCATTCCAGAAAATTCATCGTAATTTCATTGTTTGGTGCTTGGAACCTATTTTTCTCACAAGAAATAGCAAAATTAATTAATGTGTTCCTGAGCCATTATATTCCATATCTTATTTCAGTTAATTTGCTTTACAAAGAATTTTTTTCAAATATTTTACATTCAGTACTGTTTCCTTTCACTTACAAATAGAGGGTGAAAGAGGGATTGTGAGTGGGTGGGTGTAATGGTGGGTGGTGTAGGTGTAAGGATTAGTGAGGTGGTGTTGAAGGAAAACTTATGGAATTATGCAGGTGGAAAGTTAATAGTTTGGGCTCAATTTCTGCACTGGCAATTTTACCAACTATGAGTTCTATTTTAAGTCAAATTTCATATATTCATCCAACCAAATTCTTATCAATTTTACTAGTACATGCTCTTTCTGTTCTATCAACTGAGTACAGTAACTGCCCACTCAACTATTTAAAATCAATAAAAACCCTATAACAAATGCAGTGGAATTCGTAAGTTGGCCATTTTTACAAAAAATTTAAAATACCTATTAGAGAGCTAGAGTGCAAAATAATAAAAAAAAAATTCTGTCTCTAAACATTTCCTTTGTTCATTACCTTCGGGTTTCGCGCAACACAGTTACGCACCAGGTTTTGGACTATAGTACGCCTAAATTCTAGCACCCTCAAACCTAGTGGAGAAAGCGTAGCCTACAATAAGAATGGTCTATGTGGTCAGTGTGCATGGTATAAAAAAAATCCTGCAGCACACAGTGCGTAATGAGAAAAAAAAAAATTTGACCGTGTTTTTGGATTAAAACAGCGACTCTGCACTGTATTTTTGTATGGTACGTATTTATTGTTGTACGTATTCTAGTTTTCCTGGTCTCATTTTATAGAATGGTAGACATATTACAGAAACTGAGATGATTCTGACTGATTTTACAAAGAAAACTACCTTGAAATTGCGCTCAAATTAGCAGAAATGTTCAATTTTTACCAAAGTTCAAACGTAAACAAATCATGCTATGCATCCAATACACGTCAACTGGTGAGTCTAATATTCTTTCACAAGTGCGTTGACAATATTTATACCATTTCTACACCAATGCAGTAGTCTGCATAACAGTAAATCTTCTACTTTTTTGCGAGAATAAAAATTCAAAGTGGAAGCAAAAATGTAAGAGGGAAAGGGATTGTGACAAAGAACAGAGAAATGTTATGTTCAGTGCACGGATCATATTCTTTCATGTTGATATTTATATTCTGCACCTATAGTCGAAATTGATCCTTTTGAATTTTTGTGAGAATGCAAAAATTGCTAAATTGAACAAAGGAGGCCTGGTTCACAAGAAGATTGGCCAGGAGGCGTTGTACCCCACGGAACTCTCTCCTTAAGGTAAATTCAAATGTAAATCTGTCCTGATGGATAGTTGAAATCGGTAATTGGGTGGTTTCTTGTACTCATTTGATAGAAAAAATGGAGTTCTAGCGAAATAGTTATGATTTTTGTCGACAAGTACACTGGAATTGGCCGAAAATAGGGCTCAAAGTGGGCAAAATCGCCGATGCTTAAACATCGTCGAGACCGCTAACTTCGCGAGAGCATAATTCCATAAGTTTTCCATCAAATTTCATACTTTTGGTGTCATTATGATTGGGAAAAGATTCTCTATCTTTTCATAAGAAAAAATAATTTTTTTTTTCTTTTAAATTTGGCTGACCCTGAGAACAAGTCTCTGAGAGGGCCTGTCGACCCTGAAAGGGTTAATCTCACCCACAGGTCTCTCTTTTATTATACTCACCTTCCATCCATTTCGAATTCATAATTACACAAAAATAAAATATTTACTCTATTTCCTGGATAATAAAATATAACCAGAAATGATTGGTCATGGTTTAAGGCATCCCAGTAATTGAATCAAACCTATTAAAAACCCATAATGAGGGACGTAGGGAGGCCTTACCCTTGCTCAGGAAAATCTGCAAAAATCGAATATTTTCCCTACTGAGCTCAATTTCAAGCTACTTTCAGTCCTGAAATCAACCAAAATTATCTCCATTTCAGTAGTATGTCTTCTATTATATCAAAAGATATCATGGAATAGCCAATAAAACCATAAAAACCATCCTAGAAAACACCTCAAATTTGCTATTTTAAATCAAACACATGATCAGAATTTTGTTTTTCCATCAAGACTGCACAGGGCAGGATTTTTTAAACTGTGCACTTACCATGCAGACCCATTCTCTCATATCTAGGCCAAAATTCACCACTCACAGCTCATCTGAGTGAGGTGAGCTCATGACAGAACTACGTGAAGAACCCTGGCCTCCGTGATGTAGTTCTACATGACAGTTATTGAAAGGGCTAAAATATAATAAATATACAGAACTTAAAATAATTTGAATGAATTAAATTAAAAGGTAAAAGACAAATAACTGAATGTTCATTTAAGAAATCAAACGGACCTGAGTAGTGATAATGTTGACACATCCCATATACCAGCCATGTCATCATCTCCCCCTGCTGATAACAACACTGAATTTGGAGAAAAGGCACACACTCTCACTGCTGCTTCACTTGATGGTTGCAGTGAACACAGACGCTCCCCGGTCTGTTGATGTAGTAATTAGGTGTCAAATGACACTCAGATCACAATCTGTGTAAATAACAATGCATGTGATGTATGATACATTGATAAATATAATGATACTGCAAATCTGCATATCCATGGAACTTGGCATTTCAACTAATTAAATAATGTATATAACATGTGAAAGAAAATTCACAATGTCATCTAACAAGGGCTTCAGAAACCAGTGAGTTACAAAATACTGACATATAATATTGAAAATAAAAATAATGGAATTCTGAAAGTGGGAAGTATAATGTATGCACTCTGAAGGCTAAGTGGGGATACTGCAGTCTGGAGGCTCACTTGAATTGTGATATGTACACACCTCTGGAAAGACAACTACTGAATAAGTGATGGTGAATGTGTTTTCTTTTTTGGGTTACTCTGCCTCAGTGAGAGAAGGCCGATGTTTTAAAAAACATTAGTACCAGTATTTACACAGTTCTGCCAAAGCTAATCTAGGCACCAGGGTTAGGCTAATTTCTCTCCAGATATTTACCTACAGTACCCAATATTTATTACACTATATTATGAAAACATTGTCATTACCTTCACATCCCAGATAATTGTTGAGCCATCAGTTGAAGCAGAGGCCAACTTTGTTCCAAACGGAGAGAAACTCACACAGTTGACTCCATAAGTGTGCCCAAGAAGTGGAGAGTAACCAACCTCAACAAAGGAATCATCAACTTGCCACTTGTACAATCGAACACTCTTGTCACTGAAAACAATATTATACTCTGATATGCAGTATGTCTGGTAATTAGCACCAAAAGACAGAAACATCTACACACCATCTATGTGTAATGTACAGTGTATGTCTATATTACATATGCATATGTACCTATAAGCGAGTATACAGGGTAAAGTACATGTATGTGGTAGATTAATAAAAGGGTTGGGGTAAGAGAGAAAGCAGGATTGCTGAGGAACAAGGAGGATTTAAGAAGAGTAGAAGATATGTAGACTGTCTACACCGAAGCATATGTAAGTAAGTAACTTTATTCAGGTATACACAATACAACAAACTATTTCTATAAAGTGGAATACAGTATAACATACAAATTGGGGTGATTGCCTTATGTTATTACTTTATAGGAAGCCCATTGTTATGCAAAGCATTTTGGGCAGTCTTAAAACTAAATAATGATTACAAAAAGAACAAAAAGGCACAACACTGTAACTGGAACAATGTACAACCCACACATAGGGGACAGAAACTTATGACAATGTTTCAGTCCGACTTTGGACTACTGACTAGTCACACTGACTTGTCAATGGTCTAAGCCGGACCGAAATGTTGTCATAAGCTTCTTTCTCCTAAGTGCGGGTTATTTGTGTACTAATTATGAATACATGTACACGTATATATGTGTATGAGAATAAGAATACATGCTGGCCATCTCTCACTGAAGCAGTGATCAAAAAAAAAAAAAATTTTCACCATTCACACTATAACTGTCTTTGATATATATTAGATTTTTTTTTTTTTAACAAGTCAGCCGTCTCCCACCGAGGCAGGGTGACCCAAAAAGAAAGAAAATCCCCAAAAAGAAAATATTTTCATCATCATTCAACACTTTTACCTCACTCACACATAATCACTGTTTTTTGCAGAGGTGCTCAGAACACAACAGTTTAGAAGCATATACACGTATAAAGATACACAACATATCCCTCCAAACTGCTAATATCCCGAACCCCTCCTTTAGAGTGCAGGCATTGTACTTCCCATTTCCAGGACTCAAGTCCGGCTATTAAAAATTATATATATATATATATATATATATATATTTTTTTTTATTATTATTATCACACTGGCCGATTCCCACTAAGGCAGGGTGGCCCGAAAAAGAAAAACTTTCACCATCATTCACTCCATCACTGTCTTGCCAGAAGGGTGCTTTACACAACAGTTTTTAAACTGCAACATTAACACCCCTCCTTCAGAGTGCAGGCACTGTACTTCCCATCTCCAGGACTCAAGTCCGGCCTGCCGGTTTCCCTGAACCCCTTCATAAATGTTACTTTGCTCACACTCCAACAGCACGTCAAGTATTAAAAACCATATGTCTCCATCACTCCTATCAAACACGCTCACGCATGCCTGCGGGAAGTCCAAGCCCCTCGCACACAAAACCTCCTTTACCCCCTCCCTCCAACCTTTCCTAGGCCGACCCCTACCCCGCCTTCCTTCCACTACAGACTGATACACTCTTGAAGTCACTCTGTTTTTCTCCATTCTCTCTACATGTCCAAACCACCTCAACAACCCTTCCTCAGCCCTCTGGACAACAGTTTTGGTAATCCCGCCCCTCCTCCTAACCTCCAAACTACGAATTCTCTGCATTATATTCACACCACACATTGCTCTCAGACATGACATCTCCACTGCCTCCAGCCTTCTCCTCACTGCAACATTCATCACCCATGCTTCACACCCATATAAGAGCGTTGGTAAAGCTATACTCTCATCCATTCCCCTCTTTGCCTCCAAGGACAAATTTTCTTTGTCTCCACAGACTCCTAAGTGCACCACTCACCCTTTTCCCCTCATCAATTCTATGATTCACCTCATCTTTCATAGACCCATCCGCTGACACGTCCACTCTCAAATATCTGAATACATTCACCTCCTCCATACTCTCTCCCTCCAATCTGATATCCAATCTTTCATCACCTAATCTTTTTGTTATTCTCATAACCTTACTCTTTCCTGTATTCACTTTTAATTTTCTTCTTTTGCACACCCTACCAAATTCATCCACCAATCTCTGCAACTTCTCTTCAGAATCTCCCAAGAGCACAGTGTCATCAGCAAAGAGCAACTGTGACAACTCCCACTTTATGTGTGATTCTTTATCTTTTAACTCCACGCCTTTTGCCAAGACCCTCGCATTTTCTTCTCTTACAACCCATCTATAAATATATTAAAACAACCATGGTGACATCACACATCCTTGTCTAAGGCCTACTTTACTGGGAATAATTTCCCTCTTTCCTACATATTCTAACTTGAGCCTCGCTATCCTCGTAAAAACTCTTCACTGCTTTCGGTAACCTACCTCCTACACCATACACCTGCAACATCTGCCACATTGCCCCCCTATCCACCTGTCATACGCCTTTTCCAAATCCATAAATGCCACAAAGACCTCTTTAGCCTTATCTAAATACTGTTCACTTATATGTTTCACTGTAAACACCTGGTCCACACACCCCCTACCTTTCCTAAAGCCTCCTTGTTCATCTGCTATCCTATTCTCCGTCTTACTCTTAATTCTTTCAATAATAACTCTACCATACACTTTACCAGGTATACTCAACAGACTTATCCCCCTATAATTTTGCACTCTCTTTTGTCCCCTTTGCCTTTATACAAGGAATTATGCATGCTCTCTGCCACTCCCTAGGTACCTTACCCTCTTCCATACATTTATTAAATAATTGCACCAACCACTCCAAAACTATATCCCCACCTGCTTTTAACATTTCTATCTTTATCCCATCAATCCCGGCTGCCTTACCCCCTTTCATTTTACCTACTGCCTCACGAACTTCCCCCACACTCACAACTGGCTCTTCCTCACTCCTACAAGATGTTATTCCTCCTTGCCCTATACACAAAATCACAGCTTCCCTATCTTCATCAACATTTAACAATTCCTCAAAATATTCCCTCCATCTTCCCAATACCTCTAATTCTCCATTTAATAACTCTCCTCTTCTATTTTTAACTGACAAATCCATTTGTTCTCTAGGCTTCCTTAACTTGTTAATCTCACTCCAAAACTTTTTCTTATTTTCAACAAAATTTGTTGATAACATCTCACCCACTCTCTCATTTGCTCTCTTTTTACATTGCTTCACCACTCTCTTAACCTCTCTCTTTTTCTCCATATACTCTTCCCTCCTTGCATCACTTCTACTTTGTAAAAACTTCTCATATGCTAACTTTTTCTCCCTTACTGCTCTCTTTACATCATCATTCCACCAATCGCTCCTCTTCCCTCCCGCACCCACTTTCCTGTAACCACAAACTTCTGCTGAACACTCTAACACTACATTTTTAAACCTACCCCATACCTCTTCGACCCCATTGCCTATGCTCTCATTAGCCCATCTATCCTCCAATAGCTGTTTATATCTTACCCTAACCGCCTCCTATAATATATATATATATATTATAGGTAGTAGGTTGGTAGACAGCAACCACCGAGGGAGGTGGTACCGTTCTGCCAAGTGAGTGTAAAACGAAAGCCTGTAATTGTTTTACATGATGGTAGGATTGCTGGTGTCTTTTGTCTGTCTCATAAATATGCAAAATTACAGGCATGTCTTGCTACTTCTACTTACACTTAGGTCACACTAAACATACATGTACAAGCACATATATACACACCCCTCTGGGTTTTCTTCTATTTTCTTTCTAGTTCTTGTTCTTGTTTATTTCCTCTTATCTCCATGGGGAAGTGGAACAGAATTCTTCCTCCGTAAGCTATGCGTGTTGTAAGAGGCGACTAAAATGCCGGGAGCAAGGGGCTAGTAACCCCTTCTCCTGTATATATTACTAAATGTAAAAGGAGAAACTTTCGATTTTCCTTTTGGGCCACCCCGCCTCGGTGGGATACGGCCGATGTGTTGAAAGAAGAAAGATATATATATTAAGGAAAAATCTGGTACAGGTGATGAATGGATGGTATACAATGACAGGAATAATATAGGTTGAAAGAATTGTTCAGCATAATTAATTGTTGTTAGGATCACGTTAGGGAGAGGCATTTTTTAACAGTAGCTTTGAAGCAGCCAGCAGATAGATAGATAGACAGAGATAGAGATAGAGATAGGGGTGTAAGCCATACTAGTACAGCCAAAACCCTGAAAGGGTTAAGTAGGTTTAAGTCTTTGAAGAGCGGGGGAGTGTGTTGATTGGCAGTAGACTAAGTGATCATTTGTAATGCTGCTTTTTGTTGTGTAATTATTGGCTTAGGGTGATTTTCTATGGTGAATTTGAGTACTGGCAGTAAGTAGTAGTGCCTGCATGCTGAAGGAGGGGTGGGGCTGCTGGAACTGTAATGTCACCTTGCTTCTGGCAAGGTGACATACTAGATGGAGTAATGGGGAGTGTTTTCTTCTTTGGATCACCGACTACTTAAATTAACAATGAATGGTTATCAAGCTAAAAACAAAATTATATTATAACACTGCCACCTCAACATAATGTAACTTTCAAATTATAAAAAATTACTCTTAACACACTGCCCCTTATAAGTAAAATTACACATTAAATTTTTTTCTAAATCCTGAGAAGTAACTTACGATGAGCCGGTGGCAAGTAGACACCTGCCAGCAAAATCCACACTGGTAACATCATTAGTATGATCTTTGATGGTGCATACCGGGGCAAGTCCTGCTCCTCCCACTCCATCATCATTCCCATTTTTGCCACGGTTTTTATTGAAGATGCTGCATCTGCAACCAATTCATGCTTCAGGTTATTATATAAAGTTCACAGAAGAGCACAGTCTCTGCAAAAAAATATAAAAAAAGGAATTCTGAAAATAAAGAACTGTAATATTTTATATCTTTTATATAAAATTTCAAATCTCCAAGATTGATTGAAAGGAAAAAAGCTTCTAGTGACTCCCAAACCTCAGTGAACTGGAAAGTAGCGACAAATGTGCATGAAGCCTAGATGAAATACAGTAATACTGTACAGTCAAGCACCATTATTCCAAATATTTCAGGGCACAAAGCAGTTTCTTATGAAAAAAAATACAGTACAGAGCATAAAAAAAAAAATCTATGTGACTCATCATAATCTAAAAACTAAAAAATATCAACACACTATAATCAGGCACAAGCAGGTCGCTTTACGGACTTGGGTTTTTATGGCACTTCCCCAAATTTGCAATGGTTTCTAAATAATACCCTTTTTTTTATTTTTTCCCGACTTCCTACAATAAATTTATTCCCCAATCATTAAAAGGGCAAAGGGATGATAAATTTTAAGGTAAGTAACGTGTGTTTTTGTATGTATTTTTGGCCTTTACTTCTATCTTAATACATGTGTATATGATGTGAAAATATTTTACAGGTTTTTAAAAATAGGCTTTACAGCATTTACCCCCTGAACCAAAAACCGTTGTAAAAGTAGGGGGGGTTTGTACTTGCAATGTCGGGTTGATTTGCCTTTTTATGTGCATACAGAAAATTTAATAAAATTTTTTTTCCCACAAAAAAGCCATCCCCCACTGGGAAAATGACTAAAAAAAACAAAGAGAGGAAAACTTTCATGTAAATTCTGTCATTCTTTTAATAAAGTCTTTTTAGAACCCTGTGACATACACTCGGGATGGCCCCCCAAAACTACAAAACCCCCCACCCCCCTTTAAATACAGCCCAAGTACTTGCCATTTTCGGGGATCACTTTTGGCGGGCCCGGCTTCTCAAAACCCCTTAAATAAATTTTAATTCTTACCCCACACTCCAACAAAAGGGGTCACATCAAAAACCACTTGCCCCACCAACCAATCTAGTGCACTTGCACAAACCTACTGGTTTCCTTCATGAGAGGGGGTTTTGGGTCTTAAACAGTTTTTCAAGGTGTGCACCCTTTTAAAAAAAAAGGGCAATATTTAGATGTTACATGTAAAAAAAAAAAAAAAGGAATTTTTTTTGAATGGGCTATGAAGCAGGTCGGGATTTTTAATTTCAAGACAGCCCCATCACACATCCTATAGAAAAAAAACCCTTTAAATTGAATTAAAAATGAAGCATGCAGGTTTTGGGGCCCCTATTTTTTTTTTTTACCTTTCTTTAAGAAATTTTCCAAGTCCCAAAAAAGGGCCCTTGTCCTCTGCCCCCTTCCCCAAAACCCAAATTTCCTGAAAAAACATTATAAAGGCCATTACTATATTCCCCAATTTTTAAACTCAGCCTTAATGCAGCAAGTGGAGAGGTATTTTTAAATGAAATCAGTACCCCCTTTGGGTTTACAAAAATAAACAATCCAAACCTAAAGTAGACCCTTTGGGCCCAGGGGGCTTACATACGGGGAAGGGGGGTTAGCAGCAAGGGGTTTCCATAATGGGGGAAGGGCCCAGGGAAAGTTTGATCAAGCTTAAAGTTTTGAAAAATTTTGCCCAAGTAAGTTTTTTTTAGGCACGGGTAAACAAAAGTACAATTACCCCTAATATGAAAAATTCCGTGGGATAACCTAAAAAAAAAAAAAAGGGTTTTTATTTCCACGGGGGCCCTTTCCTTGATGGACTGATTCTGTATTTTGCAGCTTTTTAAAAGCATGAATTAAAAGCTGTTTTTTCCCCCACATCTCCAAAAACCCCCCTGCGACTATAAACTGAAGGTCGTGACAGGAGCTAAAAGTTTGGGGTGTGAGGTGGGGTTTAGTTCCCCAGTTATGTCAAATGCTGAGCCAATGAAAAAAATAAGTCTTCTAAGCCCGAAATCCATTTACATCAAACTCCCTTCTCCCCTAAACCGAGTTTGTCTCCAGGAGGTAAATCCATTTTTGTCTTCAAAATACTAAAATTTTTTTTTTTTACAAAAAAGGCCTTAAAGGGAAAATTAATTAAACTAAATTTTAATGCAAAAAATTTTCATGAAAACCCAATCATATCACTAACATTTACATTATATATGAACAAATTATTGTAAAAAGTGAAACATTACATTTAATGAAATGTATCCCCTCCCTTTCAAAATTGACTTACGGGAATGACCTGAAGACGGGTTTGGGCCATTCCCCCAAAGGGAAAAGAACTTAACTAAAAGTTTTGAAAATTTTTGATAAGCTCTTTTTTAAATTTGAAACCCAAAAACAAACCTAGCACCTAGACAAACCCTTGCTAAATGTACATAATTTAAATGACTCAATTTCCCCCAAAAAATTAAAAAAATTTTTTTGCAAAAATTTTAGTTTTTTGTTTTACATGAGAGGAAGGGGGGGTTTTTAATTTTAAAATGTACCCCTTTTGGGTTTACCTACTTTCCCCTTTGCCTTTCCTTTTTTTCATGAGAAAGCAACCCATCTTTTAATTATAGCTGAAAGCGAAAGGGGAATTGTCCATCTATTGATTACCCCTAAACTTCTTGTATTTTCCATCCCCGGTTTTTTCTGTCCCTCACCAAAAACCCACTAATCCCAAAAATTGGGGCCACTACAAAAACAGATAAAAATTTTTTCCCAAATTAAAGCATTTTTTGTAAAAAACTTTTCACTTTATACTTTCCTGTTAAAATTTTTTAAATACTTTTTGTCATTTATATTATTTATATTTTTTAAAAAACTTGTTTTCCCCTTATTTTTGGGGGCCCTGGTTTTTAATTTTTTATTTTTTATTAACACATTGGCCATTTCCCACCAAAGGCGGGGTCCCCCCAAAAAAGAAAAACTTTCATAAATTATTCACCCCATCACTTTTCTTCCCAAAGAAGCATGCTTACCTACAGTTATTAATTTTTTGTAAAAAAACTCCCTTTGTTATTTATTGAATTTTGGGTAAAAAAAGGGGGGTTTTAGTTATGGGGTAATAATATTTTAAAAAAAAGAGGTAAAAAAATTTATAAAAGATATGAGGAGGGCAAAATGACATAGTTTTTTGGGAAATTATGTTTGGTAGAAAAAAAGAAGGGTTTGAGTAACTTCGGGATGTGCATTTTTAAATAGGGGGGCCACAGATAAAACGGACCCTTTCCCTAGTTTTAGCTCACTGAGAGAAAAAAGGGTTTAGAGGGGTTACAAGGAGAATAAAGCATGGGGAAGAGAGAGGTAAAGGTTTATAAACAAAAAGGAGGAAATTTTGGGGTTAAGTATAAACAGCTTTTGGAGGAAAGATGGGTTAAGAGACCCGGGCCCAATGGGGTCGAAGAGGTAGGGGAAATGGGTTTAAAAAATGTAGCTTTTAGAGTTTTTGCAAAAATTTTGGGGTTAAACGGGGAAAGTGGGGCGGGGGGGGAAAGAGGAGCGATTGGGGGAAAATGATGATGTAAAGAGGTAGAAAAGGGAGGAAAAAGTTGGGCAAAAGGAAGTTTTTACAAAGTAGAAGTAAAGGGGCAAGGGGGGGAAGGTTATGGAGAAAAAGAGAGAGGTTAAGAGAGGGGTGAAGGGGAATGTAAAAAGGGGAGCAAATGAGAGAGTGGGGGAGATGTTAACAATAAATTTTTTTGAAAATAAGAAAAAGTTTTGGAGTGAGATTAACAATTGGAAAGGGAAACCTAGAAAAAACAAATGGATTCGTCCGTTTAAAAAAAGAAAAAGGAGAGTTTTTAAATGGAGAGTTAGAGGGATTGGGAAGATGGAGGAATATTTTTTAGGGGAAAAATTTTTAAATGTTTATTTAAGATGGGGGCTGTGGGTTTCGTGTATAGGGGAAGGAGGGAAAAACATCTTTTAGGGGGTGAGGGAAAAGCCATTTTTGAGGGGTTGGGGGGAAATTTTGTGAGGCCGTAGGTAAAATGAAAGGGGGTAAGGCACCGGGGGTTTATGGGTAAAGATAGAAATTTTTAAAAGCGGTGGGGAATAGTTTTGGAGTGGTTGGTGCAATTATTTAAAAAAATGTAAAGGAAGAGGGAAGGAACCCAGGGGTTGGCAAAAAGAGCATGCATTTTTCCTTTGAAAAAAAGGCAAAGGGACAAAAGAGAAATGCAAAAATTTTAGGGGGTAAGTCTGTTTTATTTTACCTGGTTTAAAATGTATTTTGAGTTTTTTTTGAAAAATTAAGAGTAAGACGGAGAATAGGATTTCCAATGAAAAAAGGAAGGGTTTAGGAAAAGGTAGGGGGGGGGTGGAACCCGGTTTTACAGTGAAACATATAAGTGAACAGTAAAATTTTTTAAAAGGGAAAAAAAGGCTTTTTTGGGGATTTAGGGGAAATTTTGGGAAAAAAGGGGTTTTTGGGCAGGGTTTGGGAAAGGGGGGGAATGTGGGGAGATGTTGCAGGTGGGAAGGGGTAGGAGGTAGGTTTCGAAAGCAGTGGGAAAAGTTTTTTCGAGGATAGTGAGGCTCAAGTTAAGTATGTAGGGAAAAAGGGGAAAATTTTTTCCCAGTTAAAAATACCTTTGACAAGGGTGTGTGATGTCACCCGGGGTTTTTTAATATAATTTTTTGATTGGGTTGGGAAAAAGAAGTAAATGCGAGGGGCTTGGCAAGGGGCACGGAAATTAAAAAAAATAAAAAAAACATAAATTGGGGGTTGTCACAGTTGGGCCCTTTTCGATGACACTGCCTTGGGATTCTGAAGAGAAGTTGCAGGGGATTGGTGGGTGAATTTGGTTTGGGTGTGCAAAAGAAGAAAATTAAAATTGGGAATTTCGGAAAGAGTAAGGTTATGAGGATAACCCAAAAAAATTAGGGGGATGAAAGATTGGATAACAGATTGGAGGGAGGAGTATGGAGGGGTAATGTATTCAGATATTTTGGGGGGGGGACGGTCGGGGGGGGTCTATGAAAG